TCAAAATAATCCCGGCGCGAACTGGTTAACAAATTATATATATGATATATATGGGTGTTGCTATTTAAGTAGTAATTAATAAGTCCTACATGTACCACGGTTAAATTTTAGAGAAGAGAGTTATTTTGACTCAGATTTGTTTAATCACACTATAAGTTTTGTGATAATTGATGTCTGGAGATTGAGAACTTGTTTGTATCCAAATGAAGAGTTGCATTCCCTGTGCTCTTCAATAAATTTGATTTCTTTTTCATGAAACATTTTCATCTTGCATGTTTTGTTCCAACCACAAAACTCTGTTTTCTTTTTCTGGGGGAATCCAGTGTGATCCTCTGAAAATGGCACTATTTTAGACACAAACAGATCCTGGTCCATCAGAACTGATTGTGGGGGCCAGAATCAGCATCTACATCTGTTAAGTAACAACTGATTCAATAACTAAACGTGAGCCGATTTTGTTTGGTTAATGTCTCATTCACAAGTGAAAAATGTTCGAATTGCTAGAAAAATAGTAATTTAGAAAAGGACTCTATGGGTGGGGGATGAAATTTGAAAAAAAGCACAGAGAATGCAACTTCAATTTAATGTTTGACCAAATACCATAGTCAAACATTCATGGCTAGAATTTGTCAATAAAATTAAGATAAGAAATTGAAACTTTTCACTCAATCTAAGACAGCAAAGAAAAAAGAATAAAGCGTTTGTTAGATATTTTACATATTGCATGTTTCTTGATCTTTATCAGAACTAAGCAAAGCATGGCATTAATTGAAAAAGTAAGGGGGTATTTACCCCCCCCCCCAATATTTTATAAAGACTACCCTTTTCCATTTAAATGCCATTTTTTTCACCAATGCCTTTTTTGTTTGTTTAAGAAGTGCCCTTTTTTCCTGAACAAGTGCCCTTTTCAAAAAGAAGTGGTGCCCTTTTTTGTGCCCCCTTCCGTCAACATTTCACCACGGATGTGCAAGTTCCCTTTTCAAAAAATGTTAACCCCCCCCCCCCAAATAAAAATGACTGTGCTACGCCACTGTCATGTATGAAGCTGTGACAACTGACAACGAAACAAAAGTTCCTCAAGCTGAGCCATCAACAACAAAGTATCACTAGCTAAACTAATATTGATGCAAGTCCAATCAGCAACTAACTACAATTTCTTTTGAATTTCAACAATTCAAATCATCAGTCTTCAAAGCTTTGATTAATCCACATTTTTCTGATCCATGTGTGATTCGTTTACGTTTGCCTTAAATTTCACATAGGAAACAACTTTTAAAAAGAGAATTTCTGGCACGGTTCATAAATCTTTATCTCCCCAAAGTGCCCATTGATTTTTTTTTCACTTAAAAAGTTGGATCGTGAGTGGAGACCTCAATCCACAGTTTTGTTCAAAATGGTATGACACATTCAAGTTTGTTTGTTTTGGGTTTTTTGGAGAGGGGGGGGGGACAGGATGAGGGAATAATTTTGATAGGACAGTAATTGCAAGGTGTAGAGGTTGGCTTCTATTTAGTCCAAGAAAAGACTAGAGAAGCTATATAATAGCAACCTAGGGTACACCCAAGGCAGAAGAACAAGGAGGCATGTGTATGGAGACATACAAGGAGCTGCAAGAAGTTCAGTCAAAGTTCCCCAGATATTAAAATTACAGCACCTATTGTAAAAGAGGGAATCGTAATAACTGCAATACTTCGATCCATTTGCCTCAAATTTCACATAGGAAACAACTTTTAAATGAGATTTTTCTGCCACGGTTGATAAATCTTTATCTCCCTAATTGCCCGTCAATTTTGAAAAAATTATTGATTTCTTCACTTAAAGAGTTGGATCGTAAGTGGAGCCCTCAATCCACAGTTCTGTTCAAAATGGTATGATACATTCAAGTTTGTTTGTTTTTTGGAGGGGGAAGGGAAACAGGATGAGTAAAATCATTAAAATATCGTATCGTATCGTATAAAAAAAATAGAAAAAGGTAACCAATGCATTTATAATGTAAGGTGTGCCCCTACATTTGTAGAAGCTTTGGATTTTAAAATAATGTCTCCATCTTTATATAGAAACTTTATGGTTCTTTTACTCTGCTCTAGATGGAAATAAATGTCAATGAATTGAATTGAAACAAGATCAGACAAGAATGGGAAAAGAAAGATGAAGTAAAGATGGCAATGAATAAAGAATAAATACTGAGGGCTGAGTACCAAAGAAATGGTTGCCCAAAAGGAAGGGAGGGGATGACTCTCAGAGGTGACTTGCAAGCAGCTTACATGACCCTGTCTGCTACAATGTGACTGACCATCCACATTAAAATTATGTGCACAAGACCGACAAACTACATGTACATGAATGACCCTAGCAATGTACTTGCCATGAGTCAGAGGGACTTTGTAATCAATGGTAAGCACCAACTCACATTAACCAAGACTTTGGACACATGATGGAGCAAATAATTAAGACTTCGGTTGTACATCATTTGGGTTTTGTATTCTAAAAGGGATCATTTTCAAACTTTATTCATTCCTATTTTGTGATCCACGAGACTGACATAGCCCCTTCATGACCAGAGAAGTGCAAAAAGATTTGTATGACCCATCTCTAATTAACCCTTAGGACACCCTTTGATTAGACAATATACAGTGTAAGTGCAAAATTCTACACAGGAATAGTTGCATGTGATAAAAGTTGGGCTTTTGGTTGTTGTACTACAGTTAAGCAGAGGAAATTAAGGACTAAAAGATCTAGCAAACTTGGCAAATGCACATAGGATGAGGAATTGATAAAATTGTTTTTGTGTATTTGGAAAAGAAGCCAAAAATTAGCCATAGATTGAAAGGGAAAGCAACAAGTATTGAACTAATTGTCAGCTACATGTTATCCTGATCCAGACTGGCACCTACAAATTAAAATGGCGCACTTCGAAGCCTACCCAACTTTCCTTGTGTAGTTTTGCCAAACTTCTTTGTTGACAAACCTCAAATTCATGCAGTAAAATACAAGTACTTTTACCTTATTATTATGCTTGCTATTTAACCCTCTGTGAACAATTTCGGTTTCATAAAATTTCATCCGAAATTCAAAAACGGTAGCGTCCGGAAATTGGGCACAAATCGGCGGATTGTTCCCTAACGTGGCGCACTTGAATAAATCTCGGAAAATTCCAAATTAACATTTAAGAATTTAAATAATTATTATCTCTACTTACATACCCAGCCAGATGTTTGTCAGAAAATGTTTTTCTTATTTTTTGGGGCATTCTTAAAGGGTTCACTTCGCACTTGAAAATAAAATCGGAAAATCATGCCAAAAGAAAATTTTTCTTCTGACTTTGTTACGGGTAAATAAACTCGCAATTTACTCGTAATTTAGGAGTGTTTAGAACTTGATGAAATTTCTCTTTCTGTGAAATTTTAGTTAAATCTTTTGCTCTAGCTAGGCGCTACAGGCGAAAAATCAAAGTGTGCCACGTTAGCGGCCGCGCCACGTTAGGGTACATCAATAATACATCTGTAGCTTGCTTAAATCTATCATCATGCTGACTCAATATTGTTCTCAAACATTGACAGAAATAAGACCATTTTCACTTCATTATCTGTCAGCAAATGATTATCAATATCAAAGTTGATGGTTAAGATGAGTATTTTCTTTTACCAAAATCTTCAACCCTCATCAAAACAGGTACATGTAGCTCAGAGATTTAAAGTGTCAAAACTTTTCTAATCAATGATTTAAGAATGTTTAAATTTTGTTATAAACAAGGGCAGAATTGTTTGAGAAAATTGCATATTATGCAGTGACAGAAACTACATTTTTACATGTTCAGAAAAAAATCTTTTCACGTATTTCAGTTTTCAGAATCAAATATCAGGTAAATGAACTCAATAATTTTGAAGACTAATTGAAATCAATATGAAATGAAACAACTAAAAGCCGATCTGTTCTAGCAACCAAAGATAGAGTATGTGTGTACAATTTGCCACCCAAAATTTTTGAGAATATGTAGCAACAGTTCATAGGCATATAGGATCATTTGCTGTTCATGCATACATTGTTTCGAATATTAACATCACTCAAAATCAAAAAGAAGAGTGTTCAAAACCTAATATGTGGAAGTTTCAGATATTTCACTTTTTAATTCATTTAAGAAAATATTGAAAAACCAAGCATGACGTTTTGATCACTAAACACCATTTCGTCAATAGTACTCTTTATCAAAAAAAAACCCAGTGAATTGATCGTTGGAAATCATGTACATTTCTTGATTTCTTTGAAATGACAGCAAGCTAAACAAAATAATTTCATGGCGTGTTTAGTACCAGTACGATCTTTAATTTAATCCAAGTAAGCATTTGTATAATAGTATGGGAGGTTAATTTTGGGGCAACTACAAATGATCCTATATGCCTTTAAATAGTTTGGAGAAGAACTCTTCAATTAATAGTTGTTTTTCACTCAGATCTCTCCTATGATATGCAAAACCTGCTCCATCAAGTTAAGAACATGTGCACTGTACTGTAAGAGGTTGGCAGCAAAAGAGAACTTGAATGTACAATTGCAATGTGACAGTTTTATCTGCTTGCAAACAATTAGGAAAGTCACTGGACACTTAATGCAAATAATTCAATTTTATTGCATTTGTCTTTGACAGTCCACACAAATGAAATTTCTTCTTATGTTTATATAAATCAAATCACACATAATTCTTTTGAGGGAGAATTTCAATTCCTCTGTCTTTCAGAAATGATTGTCATGATCGTTGCTGAGAAATTGTTTTCATTTCTCTTTCTTCTCCAAATTACAATATACTGTCCAGGATGCTGTTGGGGAAAAGTATCAAAGTTTGTTTCAATCAGAATGTTGAGGACAACAATCTTATTCACAAGAATCAAGTTCGAGAATTATGGTCTTGTGCGGACAAAATTTCATTTACAAATGAAATCTGAGGTTCTTTGGTGCACATTGTGATGAGTTTTGATGGAGCAGGTTGTATTCTTGGTTTGACTCACCCTTAAGGTCATCTCAGTCAGCATGGTGATGATCATCCAGCCTGTCCTGCCTAATCTAGGCACTTCTTTCATATGGCGTGTAGGCCAAGGTAGACATCCAGGCCAGGGCATCATGGGTTATGGTGTGGATGGCTTCGATGCCGCCAGGGAAAAGCCTCAGCAGGCAGTCATTCAGGATAGTCTAGGCACTGGTCTGGTCCAATCCAGCGTCAGCATGGTTTGCAAAGGTCAGTCTCTTCTGAGGAAAGATTTAAAAACCAACAGTTAAACCTTCATTTGCTAATTTCCCTTTCAATTCCCCAGTCAGCAATGAAAAGAAAATCAGAAACTGAAACTGAGAGTGATTTGTCCTTTGAAAATTCAAAAGGGATCAGGGTTTTGATTGAATGTTATCTCATATTATCCATTTGTGGACAATGGTAAAAATATGGACAAAATAGGGAAGACAGTGATTCCTTGGTCCAACAAGTTTACTGATAAAGTGATATTCTGTCTTTGACACATTTTAATATGAAGAATTCATTGACGAACACTCACCAGTTTGGAGCACTCAATCATCCTGAGAGAAGCCAGAGAAGATGTGTTGATGACCTCAGGACGGTGCCTCATCCCTCACAGACATCCTGAGCTGCCTGTCTGCACCTTGGTTCCCATGGCAGAAGATCAATAGGTACCATCTATGTACACAGCATCTGTCCAGATACAGCCTCCCACAAAGAAGTGCTACATGGCAGATATGAGATTGAAGATGGAGTGAACCGCAAGCAACTCATGGAGCAACTAAGTTCGAGTTTTGAAAGTAAAGACCAGTCAAATCTCAGTTCACTGGTTTTCCTGTGCATGTAAAACTTGAGCGCGGTGAAGGCCTTGAAAATGAAGGTGCGGTCATGGCGGTTGATTTTCAAAAGAGCCGTCTCATTCTCACCAGGCTCGACAACTTCAAGTACTCCGCTGGTCCTGGCCCACGATGAATCCTTGCTGAGTCCTTAGTCAGCGATGAGGCCTCTGTTCCTGGAGTCAAAATCCTTGTGAGAGATGATTATTTCGCAGGCTTTTTGCAGTGCAGTGCACTCGCCAGGCTGGTGGAAACTCAATAACACTTGCGTGGCATGTGTATTGCACTGGTTTGGCCTCACTAGATAGAGGGCACTTGCGAATGTGTGTACAGTAAATGCGGTAGATAAAATAGGTTCGGGGTCCTTCCCAAAAAACCGACATCATAATTATCTTAATGGAGATTAAAGTTGATCACCATTCCAAATGATCCAGCGAACAAACATCCCCTATTTGACAGCTTTAGTTCGGGAAATTTCCCTTTATCAGGAAAACTTCCCTTAACAGGATCACCACCGGGAAGGTAGCTGTCATGATCCCATGTTAGTAGAGAGCAGAAGGAGGGGGGGGGGGGGGGGGAGTAGAAATTAGATGGTGCGTGCAAAATGCAAAGTAGGGGTGGAGAAGAGAGGAAACAGGGAAGAGAAAAGGTAGAAATGAAACGGTGCGTGCAAGTGACAGAAGAAATGAATAGAGGATGGAGGGAGAAGGAAAAGTAGACATGGACCAGTGCGTGCGAATGATGATAGAAAGGGGATGGACGAAGGGGACTGAAGGTGGGGATGGAGGGTGGGGATGGAGGTTGGGGATAAAGGGTAGAGGAAAGGGGGGAGGGAATGTACGGTGATGAGCCGGTCAGGAATCACCAGGGGGAATATGGGAAAGTCTTGTCTCAACTATGGCTGCAGTGCAATGACCAGCTCCAGCGTTTCACAGTGAGATGCAACTCAGCAGATGGAGGGACCATCTACTCAAGCAAATGGTTACTACAGAAAAGTCACTGTAAGCTTACCAATAGTCAGTTTGCTTGTGGTATAAATCAAGAGTACACAACTGAATAGCCAAATTCCCCTACCTTTTGGTGGGTGGGGTTTTCTATTGGAAATGGCAAAATAAGCACAGAAGCAGAGTCATTTATCAAGACATCTTGCAGTAAGCTAAAAAATTAAAGTTCAAATTACATGAAAACCACAACATTTGGGCAAACTCCCTCTTTTGGGGGTGGGGCACTATTCATAATTAGAGGGGTGGGAAAATTAAAAATAACAAAATAATACAATATCAATCCAAACCGATGTCATTTTTTTCTGATTTTGGCACATTTCAATTGCACTTCAATTGCATTTCAATTTGATGAAAGAGTAAGTGCAGTTTTGTAGTTTAAAAAAAATGGTACAATTTTTGATAAACAAAGTAATTTTGATATGGATGAGCACTTTTGTCTATTCTCTGAATCAAATCCGTCTCAAAAATGGGACACTTGAGGACGGATTGAAGAAAACGTTTGAAGGATTTAAAGGAAGGAATACATAATATTTTTGAGATTATAAGGATTTTTTTTAAACAACTCTTGCTTTTACAAATTTTAACTTACTGTGTACTTCAAAGTTGAAAACCAAGTATTTTCGTCTTCATATTTTCTTGCATTTTATTTTGGGAAAAGAATTGTGTTGACAAGTTTACTTTGTATTAAACTGTTGCAATGATGTATTGGGACAGTTGTTCCGAGGACGAATGTCTTACAGCGTGGGGTCCAGGGCCAGCTAAAGAAGCCCAGGAAGTTTAAGATTCCAGATGCTCTGTGGTGCAATCTGAGGTGTTTCCTGGCCCCTCTTACCCTGAGTTATTTGAGAAAAATGTTTTAAGACACTCACCAATTTGGAGCTCTCAATCATCCTGAGAGAAGCCAGAATAGACCTCAGGATGTTGCCTCATCCCTCACAGACATCCTGAACTACCTGTCTGCACCTTGGTTCCTATGGCGGACGATGAAGAGGTAGGCTACGTATCACTATGTGGACAGCATCTGTCCAGATGGTTTCCCAAGAGCAAGGGCTACATGTACATGGCAGATATGGGAGACGGGAACCTGTAGAAAGCCATGTTCCACCAAACTTTGAGATGAGATCAACTTCCCTTCGCTTGGCTGCAGTCAAAGACAAATGATTTACAATTTGTGAAAAAAAACAGAATATCAATCAGAATCAGAACAAAGTTCTCTTCATACAGATAAATAATAACAGCAGCCCTCTGACCTTATTGCAATTAATATCTTTTGAATGATTTTTGCACAATACAATGCCAAGCACTGTGGGAAAAAAGGGGGCAATATCTGTGCCGTTTCTCTTCCCACAATACTTCTGTGCAAATTCACTCAAGCAGTATTAGCGAAGGCTTATTTGTTTAGACTGTATATTTTTCCCACTTTTGTAATTAATAGGCCTCATTAGAGAACCGAATTTCCCCCTACAAAACAAAACAAAAAATAAAAAAAATAAAAAAAAAAAAGATATTTGAGTAAAAAAAAAATATGAATTAAAGAAATGTGTAAAAACTTACTAGGCCCTACTTAGGCATAAGTTGCAAATAGTGTAGGTAGGGATTTTTTTTGTTTGGCCAATTGCTTTTGTGTACGATCATATAAGCTGGAGTTATCCGGCCCTACATTTTATCATTGGGTTGTCATTTAGGGCTGGAGGAAGTTTTTCAGCAGCATTGGCAGGTCCCAAAAAATTTTCTAAAATGTACAATTTTGTCCCTTTTACACACTAATTTCGGAGAAACTTTGTTTAGCCTCCAGAATCAAAGGACTGAAATTTTGTATTTATTTGAATAAAATTTAGACCGATGACACTGCCTGCCCCTAATAATGTATTACAATGCGGATTCATTTTAAAGAAATTTTGAATCCTAAAATTGCCCGGCTGTGGAAATTTGAAAAGGGGGGGGGGGGCTGTTCATGATACAAATGTGTATCCATGGGCGTCGCGAGGGGGGGGGGCAAGGGGGCGCACTTGCCCCCCCCCCCCCTGGAAAAGCCAAAAAAAAAAAAAAAAAGGAAGAAAAGACAAAAGAAAAAAAAAAGAAAAAAAAGAGGCGCGAAGACAAAGTGGTGTAAATTTAATGAGTTGGGGGGGGGGGGCAAAATGTCCCTGCCCCCCCCCCCTAAAACTGATCAATCGAGAATGTGTTGAGAAATACAAGCATTTTTTGGCAAAATTTTTTTTTGCCCCCCTCTAGAAAAAATCCTGGCGACGCCCATGTGTGTATCTTATGCAAAAATAGAGCTTACGCTTAACCTTACAGTGCATTTCAAGCTTTAACACTGTTTCTTTTATTTAAATTTTTGTCCAGTGCTATTTAATACATTGGGCTGTTGGAAAGTGAGAAAATAACCTTAAAAGCGGCATTGTTTTATTTCTCACTATATCCAGCGGGATGATCCAGTGGCCCATCCCCCCGTCTGGTCAAAAGATGTGTTTGTGAGTTTGTTTCTGCATTCAATAGGGGACGTTGAACAATAGAAGAAAATAGGTCCCCAATTCCCGAGAGGTCCCCATCTTGGATTCGTGTACAAAACATGTGGGAGGTCTTCCTAAAAAGTACAAACAAAAGAGGCACAATATGCAGGCAAATGCACACTTGTATGGGTGTACAAGCATTACATTCACGTCCACACAGTGTTTACCCTCTCTGGAAAACAGATTTAGAGGCATTTTGGGGTTAGGTTTATCGGTGGCAAAATGTGAAAAGAAACACTAAAGTGAATCATAGGGAAAAAATGGGTTGAAAGAGTTTTCAAAGTGTGAGTAAAATGAGTTTTTTTCAAAGGTTTTTCTTACTGCTAAATACGAAAACAAAGGAATATCCACACTACATGGTAAACATGGGTGTGGGTGGGGGGATTACGCGCTTGTGCAACCAGATGGTTTTAAGATATAGATGCAGCTAATCACGTGTGGAATTATACTTAAATATTCAAATATGACAGGGGTCCAATACACGAGGAATAACCATGAACATTATCGCATTTCAAGAATTTGATACCAGTGTGTACTCCAGAGGGGCTTAAGTCCACAAAGAACAGCTAATAAAAGAGTATGGTTTCCAAGGATGGTTCCAGTCTGGCTAAGGTATTGATAAGCAATTAAGACAATTAATAGTCTTCCACCAGTTGCTTTAAAGAGGTGTTCCAAAGTTTTAAACTGTTACGGAAGTATATTTAAACAATCAGTCCTTCAATTCCCTTTAAATTCTGCCGGTGACTTATAAATATTCATTATTTTCTCAATGGCATTCTGGGAACAAAAGAAGATATTTATGCTATTTAAGGCCAAGTTTGAAGATTTCTTGTATTCTTTATCGAACAGGTAAGTGGCGCTCCGGACTGTTTTTTTCGAATGTTGTAATGCAGTTAACGTGAGATTCACATTCATTGCGAATCACAAACTGACAGACGGACCTATAGTTGCTTGTCTGCTGAATTTATTTCTTGATAGTACATTTTTGTATCGATATCAATTAAAACTCTAAGAAAAAAAGGTGTACATTTATATTCCCGTGGAAAACATCAATCGGATTCTAAAAACTTTTCCTGCAAGCTACAAGTACCGGTAGAGCCGTTTTATGCATGCGTGTTTATTCAGCTGCTTCGATATTACCTTCTTAAACTTCATGCCTGTGCAGGAAAATAATTGTATACATTTCCTGTTTTCTTTGTTTATTTACTTGTTGTTACAGTTTACCTTCTACCCGAAAGATATACTATTTGTATGCTGTGAGTTATTTTGTTGGGTGAGTAAAAAACACCTGCTAAATTGGTTTGTCCTATACATCAGATGATTTTTCTCCTCTCCGATCAAACACTCTAAACCCGGCGCACATTATTATATAGACATTTGGCCCTTAAGAGTTCAGACTAGATGTTTAAATTGAGCTTTTACGCGATACTGCATGAAATTATTTTGGCACAAGTTGATCTTTTTTGCTGAAATATTTTCGCACTTTTCCTTTTATTTTGTTCCAAAGAGGACGCACGTTGTGATGGCCATGCCGGGGAAAGCAAGCGAGGTATGTACATGTCAGCACGGGATATGAATTATTTGTTCAAAAATAGATTGAAGAAAATGAAATATCCCCTCTTTTGTGATAACTGCTCAAAGTTTTCTTCAAATTCAATGTTCTAAAATACAACGAATCTCAAGTAAGTGTTTCAGAGCTGCATATAATATTATTGTATATAATTTTTAGGTATTAATTCCCCCCCCCCCCCCCCACAGAAGTATGGTTGGGGTCTACGAACGAATACTTACCTGTAGAGCAATACTACTTATGCATTTTCCCCCTACCGGCAGGTATTTTCCGCTAAGAGTTAT